CCAATAACCACACAATTTTTTTTTCTCCGAATAAAACACAATTTTTTTTAATATAAAAATGCATGATTTCCCGATGATTACTTTTAATGCCGCCGACAATAATAAAAGACAACTATGGTGATTAAGTTTTGAATTTAATAGGAATATCAGTAACAAAACAATTAATTTTTTAATGAAAAAAAAAATTGGTGTTGAACAAATCAAAAATTAATGAGCTCCGCACAGTGAAAATTGTACAGCTTACTGTTATTTATGTTTCAGAGAGGATGTGTAACTGGAGGAGGTGATAACACGGTGAAATTTTGGCAATTTGAATTAATTGTTGACGAGGAAAGTGCTTCAAAGGCAAAGGTTTTGTCAGTGACACATACGAAAACTTTACAGTTGGAAGATAGTGTTCTCTGCACAAAAATTTCTCCAAACGGTAAATTCATAGCTGTTGCACTGTTGGATTCAACTGTTAAAATATTTTTTGTGGATACTCTGAAGGTGAGTAATATTCATGATAACTAACAATATTGGATATATTCATCTAAATAACAACTAACTTTGTGATACTGGTCACGATGATTCATTCAACATTGAACAACAATATTTTGAACTTGCTTGAAAAAATTCCTCACTATGGAATTAGGGATAAAGGCGCTGATTTTATCCTATCTTATTTATCTGAAAGCATTTGGGTCTTTGGGCACAAAAGTATGAGATCGTAAGCATTGAATGTAATAGCAGAGGTGCTCCATACCCTGGGCCCTCTCATATTTATAATGTATGTTAATGTAATTTCACATTACATGAATCCTTTCAACATAATTCAGTATGCCGATGATCCTACGTTTTATGAGTCACCCCGATCGTGAATACTCGAAAACGCAAAAAAATGTATGAAGTTTTTGCGGCTGATAAGTTGTGTCCTATACTGTGAAAGGCACCCACTTTTATTCCGAAAGATTGCCTAAAATCCCTCAAGTTTTTAGATGTTATTCTGAATCCGAAACTCAATTGGAAAGACCATGTCTTAAGCTATCCGCTGTTCTTCACCTGCTCAATGAATTTGTTCCTTTTCATTTGTCTATAGAGCAGCCATGGGTCTATTTCAGTCTAAAGTATCTTATGGACTGCTTTTCTGGGGACATTCAACTGATTGGGAGTGGATATTTATCTTATGAAATATTAACCTTAGAATTTTGGGGAAAATAAAACGTAGGACGCTTTACTCTTTCAGCTTTATACATACTCCAATATCTTGTCTACATCAAAATGCCAAGCATTAGTACAGTAAAATGCAACCATGAATATACAACTAGAAATGGTGGCAACCTCTTTATGCCGCCACAGTTTCTCTTGTTGCGGGGGTATGATGTGATGTGTGCAATCACATATAAAAGTTTTTGTCACTGGCTTTAAGGCTAAAAGAGTGCTGAAATATACCTCTATTCAGAACTTCAAATTTCTCAACTATAATAAATAACTCAATGGCACAGTGTCACCAGAGTTAGTTGATCAGCTGGTTGATGAATTTTTCCATTTCAAATGTTAATAATTGTTCACTGTATTTTATTTTTTTATATTGGGCAAAAACTTGTTGATTGATTAATTGATATATTATCTTTCTAGTTTTACCTCTCCCTTTATGGACATAAGTTACCTGTGCTGTGCTTGGACATTTCATCCGATTCCACTCTTATTGCTACAGGTTCTGCTGACAGGAATGTAAAAATTTGGGGTATGGATTTTGGTGATTGCCATAAAAGCATATTTGCCCACGATGACTCTGTAACAGATTTACAATTTGTGCCAAGAACTCACTATTTTTTTACTTGTGGGAAGGATGGAAAAGTAAAGGAGTGGGATGCTGACACTTATGACAAGATTATTACCCTCCAGGTAAGATTATTTTCATGTATTGTTTGATAAAAATTTCGTGTGACATACTCTTGAATGGAATCTAGGATACAATGTGAACAGAAATGTTTTGTTTCATTTTTTGAAATTGGTTTCATTTCTTAATAGTTATATAAGTGTTCACTTCTCCTAGTATCAAAAAAGTTTTTTGAATTCAATCGTTATCCTACAGTACCTACATTGACCATCGTCAATGTAGGTACTGTCTCTATGTGTTTATTTTTACATTTATATACTTATTTACTTTATTTTGTGCTTGTATCATATAACATTTTTATGTACTACCTACTCCTTTTCGGTAATTTTAATTGTAATTTACATTCATTTTATACATTATTGACTAAGGTGTAATAACTTGACCAATAAAAAATCTAATCTAACCTAGATATGTAGGACAAAGTAAAAATATCTAGAAATGTTACTGTGTTTGTCATCATATCAACATATTATCAAGTCTGTGAGACCATTTTCAAAAGTTTTTGAAGAATGTAGAGTAGAGTAATATTTATTGAACCATTTTCCTAGTAACATGATAAATGGCAAATGACAGCACAAAATAATGAGTTTATAGCACACCACTTTGGAATATAGAAGCATTATTTCAACACAGTTATTGTGATGTTGTGAACCAGTTGAGGCTAATTTACAGAATTTCTGATTTGGTAACGGGGTTTATGCTTTCATGGCTTTTATTTGTTTTCAATATTGTCATCCATGTAACTCATATTCTTGTGGTATAATTTGAATAAATAATTGAAACATAATTAATTTCCTACATTACCAATGTAATGTTGATCTCATTGGTTTATCATTCTTATGATTACGGAACGCAATCATTTGGATGGATTTCTATTTCAGCAAAACATTTCTTACACTAACTGAATAATGAATATTTCTACCAGCTGTAACTCTATTGAAGCTTTGCAAACATAATTTTTTATATATAAATTTGGGAATATTTTTTGTGAACAATACTGATTGAACTCAATTTTTACATTACTTTGCTATTTTCCCATGATTCTTGAAAACAAATGATTCTTTTTTAGGGACATGTTGGAGAAGCCAGATCTCTAGCAGTCAGTCCAAACGGGCAGTATGTTGTCTCATGTGGAAGTGATCAAGTATTAAGACTGTATGAAAAATCAGACCAGCCTCTAGTTTTGGAAGACGAACAAGAGGTAGAAAGAGAACAACAAGAAGCTCTCACTGTTGAGGAGCAAACAACTATACCTGGTCAACCTGGACTCAATTTACCTTCGAAAAGGACTATAGGTAGCGAAAAGGGGGTCAGTATAACTTCTTTTATAATCTTCCCATCACTTACATTTTGATAAACCTTTTTTCCAATGGATTAAAAATTAATTTCAACATAAATTCTCATTACCAGGCTGAAAGTATTCTAGAGTGTTTGGAAATAGGCGATAAGTTTCGAGAACAACTGGCAGAACATGAAGCATTGCAAGCTGCTTCAAGTCAGACTTTACCACTTCCAAATCCTCCTCCACTCATGATGGCTTTCAAAGCTTCTACGCCAGATGAGTTTCTTTTAGAAACAATCAAGAGAATTAGACCAAGGTAAGCCCAATATCTACTGCAAATTAATTAAGTAATTGATTGAACATTTTCGTGTATTCTAATATCTTAATAATTGTGTATTTATTCCAGTGATTTAGAAGAATCTCTTTTGATATTACCATTTTCGTCAGTGTGCCAAGTCTTTCAGATGCTGCCATCGTTGATGGCCAGAGGAGATCAGACTGAACTTATTTGTAAGGTTGCCAATTTTCTTCTCAAATTACACCAGGCTCCTATTGTGTCTAATCAGGCCTTACTTAAAACTCTGGAAAAATATCAGAAAATAGAATCGGAAAAAGTTCGGGAGTTCAAGGTGAGTACTTTTCGTTTATAATTATGAGTACTTTGATTTATATTTTATCCCCACAACTAGTCATACGTTTCGCACCTAAGAATACTGAGAATTCAGAAGAATTTAAAGTCTGAAAAATCTTCCCCTTCCCTACACCATATCCTTTTTGGTAATGGTGTAGATATGTTGATGAGATTCTGATATGTTCCACAGGAAAAAATAAGGCAACTGAATACGTTCTTGGATTTCATAACTATACAGTTATACCATAAAGAAAATGTCCCGATTCTATGAGACGAGGATAAAAATTACAAAACCTTCAACTTATTTGGACCAGACTAGCATAAATATTTTCAAGTTCTCGCAAAATAAATATGTCAACTTCCCTTATAAAAATTTATTGATTTTATTTGTCGGTTTTAATTAGAATTCGGTAATATATGTATTGATTGTATCTGGATTTTCTAGAAAGTTGAATTAATCAATTACAGCTTGTCAAATGTAGGCAGACCTTTCTAAATTTTGATATCGTCCCGCTATCTAGATGCGCGTCTGTTAGGAGACTATGTGAGAGAGAGAGAGAGAGAGAGAGAGATAGAATTATCAAGTCTCTTTTTAGTTTTGACAAGCTTTACCTGATTGAATTGTAGGTAATACCTAGAGAGTACTAATACTTAATATTAGATAATAGCCTGGGCATCACAGTACGCCCGAAGATACTATTGTAAAGCAAAATATGTGTCACCGTTTTGTGAACTTTCAAGTGGAAATTTCACATTGAAATGTTTTTTTAATTCATTATAATTGATTTTTATCGAGTATCAGGCAGTTCTATCATATTTTTGTAAATTATAATTAATTTAACATTCTTGCTTTAAGAAGATATTGTAGGTATAGCAAAATACTTGTCATTATTTTCATAAAACCCTTGTAGAATCTTGCAGTAAATTGTATCAGTTATTAAAATCATTGCTATTTTCAGGATTTGACAGGCAACACTTTCTATGGTTTGCAGGCAATAATGCAAACTATTGAGGCTGCTGAAGGTGTCCAGATGTTCAGAGATAAAACTATAGAAAGAAATAAAAAGGAAAAGAAACGTAAACAACGAGAAAGATTGAAGAGATCAATTTTGACCCTCAGTTGATCATCAGTTAATTCAACTTTTTAAGTTTATTGTGTATATTTTTGAGAATATATCAGTTGAAGTTTGTAAAATGATTGTTTCATGCAGTGACCTTTTCCTTGTTACCTTTGTTATGTTACAGCTTTTTCTAAAGAAGTACTCTCCTATGGTCCTTGAAGTGGGCTTCAATTTTTTTTATAAATGACAAAAGATACCCTGTGCTTACTTTGGATGAAATGTTTGACTTGGAAAATAAATTTAAAATTCTCAATCCAATTTACAGCCTTTGACCTTAATTTTTCATTAGACGATTCAAACCCCCATGGCACCGGGTCTAGAATAAGTCTGTAAAAGGCAACTAAAAAGTACTCTTAACCTGATAATGTTATGCAACCCATTCCTGGGATTTGTTAGGTATTACCAACGGAGTCATTGGGATACCAGGAGACCTCTCAAAGTACTTAGCCTTGCATCCATTCAGGAGGCTCCATAGATTTGGACAACCCTTTCTCCCACCCTCGTAAGAACTGAACGGATCACAAGCCTAAACAGAAAGAGAAAAACTCTTTGAGGAACTCCTCTGATTGGCAATGAGAGTCATACAAACCAACCTGCAAGGCAGTAAGGAAGCTTTGGCGGTCCTTACAATGGTTATAGGATGTTTGATATTGCTCTCACACAAGAACCCTGAGTCTACAGTGGAAAGATCATGGGGAAAAAGATTAAATATACTGCCATTGAGTAACTTTTGTACCAGAAACTTGACGGTGGTCAAATTAAAGATGGCTGGTGAGGAAGGACCTGAGGAAATCGTCGTTGAATCAGTGTACCTCTCTTACGTTAGTCAGAAATCCCCACCAACCAAGAACATGGAAGAGTTAGTGACAACCTGCCGAGCAGATAAATCATAGCTCATAATTGGGAAGACATTGCACAATACCAGACCTGGACGATTACTGACACTGATGAAAGATGTGAGCATTTACTGGTAAACAATTTAGACATCTCAAACTTACTTTCCTGAACACGAGAACACGAAGAAATTCGTTCGGATCATCAGCATATAAACCTTGTAGTCATGTATCATTACTTGATTATATCATCAAAACGGGAAGCCTATAAGGTAGATCTTGTAACTTGGTTTAATCAGATGAGTTTTGAAATATGAGATACTACAAACTTAGCAGCAGACTTTATGTACAACGAACAATGTCCCTCACTCACTCAATACAAAAGGTCCCTATTTGAATTCAACTAATCGAAAATCAATTAGAAGGCAATGTAATGTACCACTGTAAACTAAATGAATTTATTTGTTTTTTTAAGGACAAACCACAAGCACAACAGGAAAATCCCTAGAGCGCCTTAAGGATTTTCCTGTAGTGCTTGTGTTTTGTTCTTAAAACCAACACGGCAGTCAATTCGAGTGAGTGAACAAATCACCCACGCCGAACCGCTTGGCTACCGACTGACCAATCATGGAGAAAAAGATTAAATATACTGCCATTGAGTAACTTTTGTACCAGAAACTTGACGGTGGCCAAATTAAAGATGGCTGGTAAGGAAGGACCTGAGGAAATCGTCGTTGAATCAGTGTACCTCTCTTATGTTAGTCAGAAATCCCCACAAACCAAGAATATGGAAGAGTTAGTGACAACCTGCCGAGCAGATAAATCATAGCTCATAATTGGGAAGACATTGCACAATACCAGACCTGGACGATTACTGACACTGATGAAAGATGTGAGCATTTACTGTTAAACAATTTAGACATCTCAAACTTAGTTTCCTGAACACAAGACACAATGGAGTAATAGACTCAACATGAGGTGTGGAATGTGTCTCATGAAGAAATTCGTTCGGATCATCAGCATATAAACCTTGTAGTCATGTATCATTACTTGATTATATCATCAAAACGGGAAGCCTATAAGGTAGATCTGGAAACTTGGTTTAATCTGATGAGTTTTGAAATATGAGATACTACAAACTTAGCAGCAGACTTTATGTACAACGAACAATGTCCATCACTCACTCAATACAAAAGGTCCCTATTTGAATTCAACTGTAGTGCTTGTGTTTTGTCCTTAAAAAAACAAATCAATTCATTCAGAAAAAAATGTTACAGACTTGACAATAGATTTGACAACTATTCATATTATGTTCATTCATGGCTTCCTTTAAATAAATCAATTCACTTCAGTACTATAATAAATTTTTTATTTACCAGAGAACATCAGAAACAAACATTTATGTTCCATTAAAATTGGCCTGTGAACAGTTCCTCTATTTTTATACAAAACCCCTGGAATGCATGGGCGTTCACTTCTACATGCAAATTTTAAAAAGATGTAAATGTGGATTTGATGTGTTTTTGAGTTCTAAGATATTGGTTTTTGCTGTTTTGAGACTACACAAATATTTGTTTTTTCGGAGATAAACATCCGGAAACAGCTTGTCAAATCTAGGAAGCGACTTCAAAGTCTCGGCTTACGACCTTCCCCAAGATGCACGTTTGTTAGGAGATTGAGAAAAAGATAGAATGCTCAAGTCTCTTCCTAGTTTTGACAAGCTGTATATAGCTGCATTTGTTATTGAAATGGCTACAAACATTGTATTTGAAAAATGAAGTAATGAAATCTAAAGAAAAAAATATCATATTGCAAATAATGAATATGAATCAGTATTGAAAGTTCCTCTAATTCCAAATGAAGGCAGTAGAGCCAAAAATCAAAATTCGACTATTCTTGTTTTTGGCGTATATTTCAAAAACAACCGCTGATATTCTAGATCTGAAAAGAGATTATTCTAGTTCGCCAAAATAGGAAACTTTTGTCTAATTCAACCGACCTTGTAGGTCTTACAGTTTCCGAGATTTCAACAGTGAGATCGGCTAAAAAACGGCTCGTATAGTAAGCAACCTTTTACTTTTGAATGTATTTTGACACAAATGTATATATTTCATATTCAACATAGTTGATTGTTTTCAAGAAATAAAAATTATTTCGATGTGACTACTTCCTCCCCACAATTATTCCAACGTTCAGATGTCTTTTTAAAACAGATACTGATGTCATAACATTGACTTGTCGACTTTTTAGTTAAACAACTGATGTGTACTTGAAAGTTCAAATTGTCATCTATAAATATGCCTAACATTTTCACACTAGATGAAAAATATATTTATTCAGTACCGAGGAATATTAAAACCTTTATTATTTGTCTTGAGTATAATGTGGACAGTGTATAATTCAGAATTATTTTTTCCAAAGTGACATACGCCACAATCTTAATTTTTAAAATATTTCTGACAAATCATTAACATAAATATTAATAAGTGGTGGACCTAACAGACTCCCTTTTGAAACACATTTTTTGATTTAAGTAAGATCAGAAAAGTACTCGATATTATTTTTTTATACAGACATTTTGCTTTCTGTTATATAAATAAGTTTTCAAGGGGTTTAAGGCAGCTCCTCTTATTCCATGATGAAAATAGCTTCTACAACAGAATGGAGTGATTAACGCTATCAAAAACCCTGCTTAGATCTGAGAAAATAATACAGGCACGAGTGTTGGTGAAAAAATATGATGAATTTGTTCGATAAAATTATCCTTAACAGAAAACCATGCTGAAAATCGTTTAATCATCTGCATTTAAAAAAGTATGATTTGAGCTGGCAAATAATCTAGAGAAAACTGTTAGCAAAATGATTGGTTATATCATTTTGGTCGCCATTATTGTAAAGGGGTTTTACAACTGATAACTTCATCGAGTTTAGAAAAAATTCGGACTGTAAACAAGACTGAAAACGTGACATGAAATTGGGAACAGGTGATGAACTCATCTCTTCAAAATAGCTCCTGGAATGTTATCAGTTTCGCTACTCATTTTATTTTTTATTTTAGGGCTTGTTTCTTCTTCACTAATTGGATGCAAAAACAGTGACTTGGTACATGCAGGCCTGGATCTAGGGGGGGGGGGGCAAGCCGGGGCCTATACCATGGGCGGCAAGTTCAGTAGGCGGTAAAATTCACACTTCACAGACGAATGGACAACTTATCATTTACTTAACTTTGCCTTACGGTATGCACGAACAATTCTCAATATGCGTCCGCTCGCCAGCAGGAATCGCGACAGCAAGCGTTTGGTTACAGTGCGAGCGAGGGATGAAGCTATATTTGAAAACTCTCTCCACCACAGTGTTTTGTTTAAAACATGTGTGTTGTTTGTTTTTGTTTACTATTCAGTACTTATCAATCATATTAGATATTGGATAATGTCGTGGCCAATCTTATGATAATGGGTCCAATATGGCCGGCATCTATAAAAGGGTACAAGCCAGGATTGCAGAAAGGAATGAGCTGGGTCGAGTTCGTACTCTGCTTGATTCACTCCTTAAATCTTGTAGGTGTTCATTCTTTCCCATCATGCCAGGAAGCTGATTAAAAAAGTAGGTATATTGTTTTTTATTGGCTCCAGTATACTAGGTGAGACATTATGAAAAAAGTATCTTAAAACAAATTTAAAAAGAAGTAATCAGACGAGATGGTCGGCGAAACATGTTGCTGTGAATGCCTTACTAAATAATTTGCCAGAAGTAGTGAAAACCTTAGAAGAAATTTCATTAGTTCGGACTTCCATTGTTTAATATTATATAAAATGATTTGAAATCCCTAAAAGAACCAATAAAAATTTTAAAAAATAGCTGAAAATAACAATTACATGAATGAAATGAAATCACAGTAAAATAAAATAAAAGTGAAAAATAGAACAATTGATCAGAAAATAAAAAATAAAGAGATTCCAAGCCAAGTGACTTCACGACGTTTCGATTGTTAGCATTCACAATCGTCTTTGGGTGATGGATGACTAGACTAATTACCCTCTCGAAGGCAATGGAATTAATTACTGGTCTAACCCCTCTGGACCTGTACGTTGAGGAGGTTGCGTTAATGACCATGTTACGATTGCGCACGGCTGTTGTAAACCTCGAAATAGGAATGTGTCAATTGAGGCTGAGCCCACGGCGAGAAGCGCTCACTGCGCAACCTCTGATGCAGGCAACCCGTGACGCAATTCAACCCAGGTTTGTGTTAAAAAAACCCTACCAAATACAAATAAAACAGAACACAAAGTCAGATGCTACAAATGCAATACGCATATATACAGACGGCTCAAATATCAAAGAAGGCTCAGGATATGGAGTGTACTCCAGATCACTAAGCCTAAGGATTGAGTGGGGAATGAGAAAAAACACCAGCGTGGTTCAAACAGAACTGGCTGGTATCTCAATCGCCACAGAAGAAATAACCAGGAAAGGAATTTCTGGCAAAAACATAACAATCTGCACTGACAGCAGACAAGCCCTAATAGCCTTGAACAGATGTGTTACCTCAGGGCTAGTACTAGAATGGCACCAAGGTGGATTAAAGGGTACGACAGGTGTGAAGGTAATCATATTGCCGACTCTTTAGCCAAGGAAGTGGCTAGACTAAGAATTTTAGGACCCAGTGGCACCTACGGCCTGATGACTTTGACAATTGCGGAGCTAGCCAAGTGTTACACCAATGCTTAATCCCTAAAGAGATGGGATGAAATCAAAGGATGCAATCTTGCCAGGATCATCCTGTTAAGCTGGCGCCGAAGAAATATCTGGCGATGACCATTTAAAAATCTACGCTTAAAAGTAGGATTTCTGACTGGCCACTGTCGACTAAGGAAACACCTCCATAATATGGGGATAGTGGACACACCTTTATGCAGGATGTGATAATAGGAAGATGAAACTGTCAGGCATGTCCTATGCGATTGTCCGGAGTTATCGTCAATAAGAGTGTGTGTTAGGCGAGTCTTGACCTACACTTGCCGATATAAAGATGTCTCCTAGTGACCTGTCCACCTTCCTGGAAAGGACAGGATGTACAATGGGTCACATGTGGCCTAAGTGCTACACTCACCCTCCCTACTCTGTAGATACAGATTGTCTGTAAATTCTGCCAAAATAATATACTATGAGATTGATACTCAACTTTTATTGTATTATATGTAAAAAGTTAGATTTTGACCTATTGAATGGTATTCAAACCAATATTTTTGGATACTATACGTTTTCCTTTCACATAAAATACAAAATAGAAGATTGCAACTTCTCAGGAGTGTATTTTGAAAATATTATATTTTGAAAATCAATAGTTTAGCTCAAAGAATAGTAGAAACGGATTTGCTATTTCTTCAAAAACTATTGAATGGTAATATTGATTACCATGAAATAATTTTGGGGCTCTGGCAGCCAGGTGCCATTAAAAAGTGTATTCATCCTACAGAAACAAATCTTTCAAAATTCACATTGACCACTATTTGAAATTTATGAGGTCCCTACTTACCTGGTTCGTTGCTAATGACTTCATAATATCAGAGCAAACAATTGTATAACCATTCAACAAACCAAATAAGTTATCAGAGACAAAGGTTTGAAACTTAACCTGTTGGAGAGTATGGAAATGAACAAATTAAAAAACTCTGAATATCTTATGAACAATCAACATGAAATGAATAATTCGCCATTATTGAATCTCTTTATTTCCAGGTGAAAATATTCAAGTATATTTACAGTACTTTCGAAAAATTTATTCATATAGGTAGTTGATGAATTCATACCTGACCTTTTCAAGTAGATACATTCATTAGAAAGTAGGCATATGAGTAGGTAATATGTTAGTATAAAATGGTTGTAATTCAGAAGTAACTTTTAGTTCACGCTTGAGGAAGTTATTGTATAGCGAAACACGTGTAACGTTTTTTGTAAAAACCTTTGTAGTGAAAATCATACAATAAACTGTATTAATTACTTGCAATCCAGAAAGTCTGATCGATATTCTACTGAATGTGTAATATATAGTATTCATGTAATTATATTGACTTTGTCGACAACATGTTGATACTATTTTGGACAATAAAGATTATCTTTGGGCGACATTTAGTTGAATTCTTGGATACCGACAATAAATTATTTTTGTAATTCAATGAAATATATAAAAGCAAGAAAAAATATTGCTGCATTTATTGACTGCGATAACTGTACTGTTGAGCTTCTGAAGAAGTACTAGCAGCAATGATCATACAAGTTTCCATCGAAAGCAGATCAAGTATAGAGTGTGGATAAAATCTAAAGCATATCTCCAAAAGACTTCTGAAGATTACCGTTCGTAGGGAACAACAGTTGGCTAACGAAAAAACCCACTTTAACCTTTTTCTTTCTATGATTGGTGGAAGACATGTTGAAGATATCTGTGTCACTAGGTCTTAGACCAATAAGGGTGATGTGAAAAAACAAAATATGATCTTGACCTAATAATATTTCTTGAGGTTCAAACAGGACCAGAGGAAAAAAAAGCTTCACCTAAGGTTGCAATTGAGTGTAATATTTTATTATTGTTTTTACTTTAATTTAGTACATATGTGAAAATAATAAACAAATAAGTATTCTAACATTTGTTCATTGAAATTATTTACATATATTTGACAAAAATAAAAAGGACGCCAAATTATAATAAAACTACACTGGAGGCAGCAGTGTAGAAAATTAACACAATAATAACTATTAATATATTAATGACATTAATACTTGAAGTCTGATAAGGTAATTTATGCAGCACACATGAAAAAGTGAATACTCTTGATACCTTCTTTGATAAATTAAACAACTGACTTACTTCTTCCATTTGTGTTGCATAAGAAATAACGGCTTTGGTTTGGAGCGTAAATTATCTTACATTTCGCAATTGAACAAAATACCAAAGTAACAAATGTCTAAGAAAACAGGGAAAAATAATAAATATAGGCTATGTTAGAATACTCAAATAATTTAAAATACAAAAGAGGTAAAAGGGACATTTGGGACTTTGGTAAGCAGAATACGGTTTTCTAAAATAATACAAAATGTTACTTCAATAAATTAGGAACCAAGTGCTTATAAATATTTCATTACTACCGCACATAATTATTGCCAATAATAGAGAAATGACAAAACATTCATTATTGGAATATAATTACTGAATATCTACAATTTATACAAGACAATTCAGATGTCGACTCTCTCGAAAATCGCGAATTCTCAAGGATGAAGTTTGCATTACTGGATGATATATTCTTTTCTACTTCAGTTACAATATTAACTGAAAATAAATCACTGAGTTACCTGATGTTTTGAAATGAATAATTTGAATCTGAATAATATATTACTGGGGAAGTATTTAGAAATAGTGTTTCTACCAACAAATTTTTCTAATATGTAAAGTACATTTTTTGCAAGGCAGTTAAAATATCCCAACTGTGAACAAAAGAAATCCAGTTAAATTTTATTTGTAAAGCATAACTAGTTAGTTCTAATACCTCAAGAACACACCCATTTCTCCGAGATTCTTCATCAACATGCTGATCATGAAAATATAACAATAGTTAACAATAACAAAGTGTTAGCGAGGCTTTGAATCAACGAATACATCCGGGAATGTAGTTTCTTTTTTAAACAAAGTAAAAATGACAATTTCAAAAAATCATTCAATCTGCATAGTTCAAGACATACATAACTGTATTTATTATACAAAATTGTATTTATTAAAATACCTCCAGAGAGGTACATATTTACAATGTTGAATAACTTATATAACTTAGTTCAGACTTATATATATCAGACTTGCTGTACAAATTACACTGTTTCAATACAGTATTTGCTTACTACTCGATATTAATTTGTCATAGCTAGCAAGAAATGACTGATTGCTGTTGCGAATTTTGCATCAGATTCTATTTTTGCACTGGTTCAATCATACAGAAACTCGCCAAAGGAAAAAAGGTTTCAGATTATGTATTTTGAATAAAAAAAATAAATTAATGCCAGCATTGATGTAGAATTCAAAATCGTTATTTTTACAATAACAACTGAATTTTTTCTTTACTTATTATATTTATGAAAATTTTTAGGTAGGTACATTCCTTCGATGAGTTGTCATTTTAGACAGAGCCAAGTGCAAACAAGAAAACATACCAATTAAAAAAACATTAGTACCTGTATAGAGAAATCTAAAACGGGTACCGCCAAGAATTAAATAAAATTTATAAATGTTTAATAATCCAACATTTTTATTCATACGAATTTGGTGCCAAAATATTGACAAACTAGCTGCAGAATATAAAGGCTGCACTGGTGTGGTGTATAAAAATAAAATAAGTTATTAGCAAAGCTGCATATAACAAAGTGCTATTCACTTCATTTCCAATACAAAGTTTCATACAAAGTATAAATTTTGTTTGTTCATTGTTGATTCACTAATCAATCACGCACGATTAAAGCCGACTTCACCATCAATTTATTGAGCTGTTTTAGGAATTGCTAGCTATGCACTTCACTTATCACGGTTCGCTGGTCGCTGGCAGTATCGTCGTTACATGTTGCAACTCTGGTTTCTGATGAAAACCACTCTGCTTCATGTCGCCTCTATCTTGCACACGGATGGTCATGTCAGAGGGCGGAATGGTCCGCCATCTTGTGCCGAATGTCGGTGGATTTATTGAAGTTATTCCACTATCTACACAATCTGTGGGAGTCCGCGCCGCTTTATTACGACGCTTGTAGTGCAGATACACCACAACACATAATATCACTACTGAAAACACAGCTATTGTTGCTCCACCTGCGATGCTGGCCGTTTCCAACATAAATCTTTGTTGTGATGCTGCAAAAGAGAAACATATATTAGAACGTTTTCAGTAATGAGCAAATTATTGCTTTGAAAATCACACTCTTATCTGAAATTCTGGGGTGAATAGCCCGGTACAGGAATCAAACGAAATATTATAGCTCAAATCTGGAAGGGACATGAAAAACCCGGACTCTACTGTGGGTTCATTGATGCCAAGACGTCCATTTACTGATGGATGAGTAGCAAATTATAATAGGTATATGTAAATCAATTTTGTATCAGTCAGATAGATCAACAAATTCTATAGCGGAACTAAAAACTCACAGTAGATTCAACGTAGTTATAACCCAAGTTAGCACTCTGCGGTGGAGGATCGAATAGACCCACTCACTTTTGTACAAACCTAGCACTCTGCTAATTGAAAAGTGTATAGCATACTGAAAAATTCACCACATACTAATGAAACCTTCTCAAGCAAAAAAATGTTAAGATGTACTGAAAATGAAAATGTCACTTGCAACTGTGGTGAGTACTTGCATAGAACCCTGTCCTTTGTTGATACTGACTGGTATTCTACTATTTTATGTGATGTATAAGTAACACTCACATATCGATTCTGAACATTAGCGATTTGAATTTTTTCAAATAATTTGCACCAAATCCAAACCTGAACCTGAATTTTCATCTACAATGCACCAGTTTTTTTTTAAATGATGTATGAATGACCCAATTCAATACATTTTATTAATTATCATTAAAATAAAAGATGAAGTATAAATTTGGTATATGAATCAGTCATTAGGTTTACTGAGGAAAAGAAATACCATTGACACGATTGAAAAAATATAATAGCTACATTCCAGAAATTACCCCTTCAATGATTTATGAGTTTTTAAAACAAAAGGTTTGACCTTCACTTTTTAGTTTCACTAGAACCTGCAGAAAGTGATTATAGTGAAACTTTTTTGCATACATTTTCGATCTACTAGTGAGGCTAAAATCTACAAGGTACGAATTAGTCTAGTCCTGATGATGCTAACTTCGTTAGCAAAAGGCGAGTTTCGGTTTTGATAATGAAAATCTCTCTCAACTTCCAATAAAAAAATAATTCCTAAATATTTTTTAGTACATGGATACGTTTGATATGAGGATATTTTCGAATCTAGTATTTTGTAAAATTCGTTTATTTCGTAAACGACTGATTCTGAACTTGACGTTTTAATAATCGTGCAAAACTTCACTTCTGAAAAGTTTTCTTTATATAAAATTACTAGGTATCCAGGGTTTCATAACATTTAGTGCAGTGCAAGGGAAAAATTTTAACATTTCTTTGATGCATATCAGAAATAACATACATAAATACTTTATAGGTTATAAAGAAACCACTAAGACATAAATAGCAAATTGAATTTTTTCGTTCGAGTTTTGCAAGTTAGATAACATATACCCAATATACTTTACAAAAGGTATAATATAGCGATTCAAGGAGTTTTTTTATAATTAACGAAGAAATAAAGAGATAAATAATTTATAAAACTTACGTAAATAGGATCCATCCAAATCTTTGAATTCACATCTAGGTCCCATATAATTCTCTGCACACCTAAAAAATATTGTATTTTAATTTCGATGGTAAATAAAAAGTTTAACGACCCAGCTGAGTGATGACGAGGGTCTGACTTTTTATGTGTGACTCCGAGCACGGCCCATGATAATGAACCAAGTTCCGAATCAGCACTGGTCACCTATCCAAACGTTGATCATTTTCGACATTGTTTCACTCAGATAGGGACCGTACTAAACGTATCCCTGACTACCTACTAGTAATAAGAATAAAGTGACAACTTACTCGCAATTATATAGGAGAGAATCGCCGATTTTGACTGTGAAGCACGTTGCACCGTTGAGGCAGTACCAAGCCGCATACGCTGGCGGGCATTCATATGTGTGGAATGTGATGTTGGGCCGTGGGGTGGGAACCGGAGGCCTAGGTTTTGGTGTGGTGCGAGAAGAACACGCATCTGAAATAAAAAATTATTCAATACAGATCAAAGTTCATTCGTCAAAAGTGCTTCCTAATTTTTAATCTTTCAATCTTAATTGAAGCAAATTATGATTTACTTATAAAGTACTCAAGAGGATTTTTAAAACATTGAAGAACATACATAATTCAAAGTTTGTACTTGTATTTAGATATTATGATCACCTGCGTCAATAATGCGCATATCCATTTTCAGATCTGGTGGATGATTGTTTTGTTTTGATAAAAATGAGTCTTGAAGAATTTACCTTCATTGACTAAATTGAAAGAATTCCGCATGTCCATGACAAAAAAATCTACTTAATAAAATTGTAACGAAAAATTAGTGGAGAACTGTCATATGTCATCAGAGATAAATTTATATGGTTCATTTTTAAAAAGGTGGGTGTACAGTAATAAATCACTAAAAACGAATGACTCCAATTTCGTGCAGACAGCAAATATTTGGGAAAACTTCACAATGATGAAAACAGTTTTTTTAATTTACTGCTGCCGAAAAAGTTAGCACGCCATTGAAATTATTTGTTTTGAGTGATTTGTCACTACACGTTTTTGAAAAATGAATTATAGAATAAAATTCAGCTGTATGTTAATCGGTCATACATTTTCTAAGACACATTTTCCAAAATTGCGATTAGGATTGTAGACAGAAACTAGAATGTCTGAATCAATGAACACCTGTACAGGCATCTTAAGATGGCTGTGCCCATAACGTGTTCAAGAAATACTATATTGTGAGATTTTCAGTACATAGTTTTACGAAAACGCAACACATGGTTCGCTATACAGTAGATTCTCCAGGCGTGTCTTCACGCCTGAAGTCTTCATCTTTCTGAGAGCGCACTATATATGAAAATGTGATATCAGCAAAAAAAATTCAGAAAGAAAAACTGTACCTGTTGATGAAAACTACAAACTTAGAAGATTTCAAGAAAACATACGGACCCTAGAGAAATGATAGGAGCATTGAAAGAAGACCAAAGTATGTCTCCAACGACAGACAGACAGAAATTGTGGAGAACTTCGAAGAAATTAAATAACAGCTAGGAAAAACAAAACAGAAAATAGCTCTCAATCGAAAATGATGAAATTATTTGCCGACGGAGAAATTACCTAAAGCAGATAAGAGAGTTTCGACGTAAGGATAGAAAGATTTATTATCTGGACGAAACTCGGTTTAACGAAGGATATACCAAAGATGGGACAAGAAGAAAACTTTACAAGTTTACGTCGAGCATTTTTAGAAGGCTGGTCTACCGGACTGAAGCTGCATTTTAATAGAAAAGGAAAGCGACTGATAATATACATTGGAAGTGTTGATGGTTTTGTTAAGGGTGGTTTATTGATTTTTGGTCAAAGCATTCTGGTGATTACCATGAAGACACGAACGACGATGTGTTTGAAACTTACTTTGAGCAAATCTGTTGAAATCTGTTTTTCTGTTAACTAGCCGTCATCCCCCTACGAACGACAACCCTCAAAAGTTAAAACTTATGCGAGCTAGGGTCTTACTTTTTAAAGTGAGATTCTCAGCACGATAGACCTCATTCCACCTAACCCTATGCTTATGATGGATAATTCTAGTTATCATTTCCAAAGAAGTTGAAAGAATACCAACTAATGCATAGAGAAAAGCGGATATCATTTAGTGTTTAAAAAAGTACATTCAAATAAAGCTCGTTACACGGAATAAGTATATAGTCGACAAGATGGCACAGAAATGTCCGACCTCTTATCATTACAAACTAAATCCCATTGAACTTGTTTGAGCTCGAGTAAAGGGTTTCGTTGCAAGAAGAAATACGACAATAATTGAAATAAGAGATGTTGAATTAGTCTTTAAGGAGTCCTTATAATATGGCAAAATTCCGAAAAATAATTTGAACACGTTATAACACGTTAGCCGTTAAAATATGTGGAAACTTTACGAAGATTTATCGAATTTATCTGATGATTACACATCGTAATTGTTGCTTATACCTAATATATTCTTAAATAAACATACCATGTAAATACTTCAAATTAAAATGTTATAACAATATGAATTGTACATGAATAAACGAACATAGTTATTAATTTTAACAAGTATTTTTGATTAAATACCCAAACGAACGCCACTGCAGGTGTGAAACGACCCGAAAGCTCATAAAACCTTTTGTTTGCGACAGGTTTGCGACACCAAAATAGGGTGGAACTGGTGATGTATTTGTTTATACCAGCTGTGGCAAACCATAACTAAATCACCAAATTTTGTTTGAGTACTCTGCTAGCTAGCTACAGAGTATAATGTCCAACGCTATTGGTATTAGGCGTTAATACTGATAACAATTTTTTTAATTAGATTTATTAACCCCAAATCGAAGAACGATATCAATTTTTAGATAAAGTCTAACAAACACGGTGGTCGCACAAAACCACATGCAAACATTTGTCATCGGATTTGTTCTCAAAACATCCCAACTGACGACATACGAAATAAACGCAGTCTTCGGTTTCGTACTGAATTGTGGCATTGTAGAAATTTCACGGAGTCCGAGCGAATATAATGCTTTTATTTGTGCGAGGGTTGGCGTGCATAATTTCTATACTTATAATACTTTTATACCTGTCGGTGTGTCATTCGGATGGTGAAAAGTGACTAGCAAACTATGGACGGGATTCTAATCCGTTTTGACGACAATCGTGTGTGCATCGACCGGTGCAGAGAATATCCTCTTATTAAATTCGTCCCACAAAACCTCAATAGGTGAATCTTATTTGGTCGCTCATCTGCATTCAGTGCATTCGGACAAGCAAAATACCGAAGTGAACTATCACACAATGCCGCACCGTGTTTCGAAAACTCGGTTGATTGTGGTTACAATTTGGAATACAAAATGTTAGAACCTAAGCGAAACAACTAAAAGCATGACTTATAATGTGTCATGATGTTTCTAACGTCTAGCTCAAGGAAAATTATTGGTTATTGCAAAGCGATTGTCAAGCTTATATACTGATCACAAATATAAAATCAAAGTTTGGCCAAGTATCATCTTTCGAAGATGAGGACATTCAAAGGTCCAAACATTATTTTTTCAGTGTTCCACTTCAGGAAATAAAAATTAGTAAAATGTCACCTTCCTTTCATGATTACATGCTGGGGACATTCATACATTTGCCACATCTGAAATTTTTCTTAGCCAAAATTATGAATTGTCTAACAAATGCACTTGATTATTTAACTGGATCCTATGCATTTTTATACAACACTGAATCACAATGTACCAATTCATTTTATAATTGAAGCGTTACAATATTGAGCAAAAAGAGAGTGTCATGTGGTCAAACTGATATCGAGATGAAAAATTGGATATTTTCTCTTTTTTTTATCTAACGGTATCCCTTCGAAGTCTAAGGGCGCTTATGTATAACGATACATAAATTATCGTAACCTGTAATTTAAAAAAAAAATCGTTTTATTACATTCGTTCACATAAATAAATAAAGTCACCTATTTACAATCAGTAGTAAATTCAAAAAAATTGTCTCAGTGAATCATTATAATGAATATATCCCGGAAAATCCGAAAATAGCAAAGGAATGGGAAATTAAACTCGGAATCGGAAAAAATATTAGCAAATCTATGTTTTGGCAGGATAATGCATCAAGTTAGGAGATTTTAATTGTGGGTACATGAAATATTTACATTTATGTATTAACAAATGTTGAACTTATTTCTTTTTCACTTAGTTTTGAGTTGATGCTTGCGTCAGCTCGTGACAATAGCAAAACGAATAAAATTTTCTACTCCTCATCGAAATGGAGTCAATACCATAACAAAAGTTGTAGAAGAAAATATTCTTCCAAGGTATGCTTTGATGTGGGAAATAATTTAAACAAGATTCGTATGGCTGCGATTGAATCAAATGAAATGAAACATATGAATGTTTTAACGTACTGTCATTGTGACAAAAGTATATTTGTCCCTTTCGCGACATAACGTCTAATGTTATGCATGAAATAAGTGATTCATCTTGTGATATTATTCATAAAGGTGCTCATAAGATAATGAGATAAGTGTCTTATTTCGAAACTTCCAAGTCCGCCATTGGGGATGACAGTGTTCTAAATGAGTACAAATTTATATCGTAACTCTTTCGTATATTATCTGTTTTTCTCTGTTTAAAATCTGTTTTTCCGTTAATCAGCTGTCGCCCCCCTACGAACGACAACTTTCAGAAGTTGAGAAACTTGTGCGATTTTACATTATATTATTCCATAACGAATGTTTGGATTTCAAATTGAATAGGAAAAAGTTGTTTCGAAAATACTCTTTCTTTCGTGTAATTCAATATTCTTGTGAAAATAGTTGTTTAGAGGGGGTTGTTTCTTCTGAAAGTAACTTCAAACCATGATCTACTCATCTTTGTATAGAGTTTCTTTCGAACTGAATTGATTTCCACCTTCCTTCGGTAATTTCCCACAATTTTTGTATAAACATGGAAAAGTTGAATACTGACGTTACCATATTTATAGGACTCTTGACTGTTCAATTTTGCATACGGTATATCGCCTCATTATTGAATTAAAATTGGATAATCAACTCGAATTTTTTCGTTGATTAGAACTGAAACGGTCGCCTAGGCGCTCTATCATTACCAAATGATTTGTTGGGCCGCTCTATTAACTTACCGAAACGCTACCTGCCCTCTAATATTTATTGTTTGGAAGTCGAGGAATGTGCCGCGCTGTTTTGGGGGCGTCGCCATTCCATTTGATATATTGGTCAACAATTAATATGTAAATTAACGCTTAATTGGATCAATTTGAAGAAACGAGTAAATGTAATTGATTACGTGATTTGGAAAAGAGGGTGTCTAACAGGGGGTGGAGAAAAATTCCGTGAAACTAAAAAGCTTATAGTTTTTACGAGTTGATGTTCTTGTTAACACAATTAGTAGCCAAATTCTTGAGCGAGATTTAATTGTTTGAATGAATGAT